CCATATGCACAGCACTGCCTGTGCTGTCCAGCCAGGCGGCATGCAGGAGGCCAGCACACAGAACACTCACAGTGGGGTGGCCCTAGCTGGGAGGGGGCTGCTCAGAACCCCTTCTCCACTCCTCTGTGCCTCCGAGGTCCCACAGCCCCAGAACCCTGCAGAGTAACTTGAAAACTGCCTGGATCAGGGATGAGGAGAGGGTCCTCTTGGAAGACAGAAGGAAATTCAAGTGCAGACACAGAGTTGTCCTGGAAATGCAGTTTGTGTAGCTCACACACAGGAAGGTTCTTCTCAGCCCTCCTGGACCAGGGCTTATGGTTCCCTGACCTGCTGCCCCTCTCCCCAGTGTCACCGGGTGACAACACAGACCTCATCCAGGCCCCTGCCTGGTCCTAATTCCAAATTTCCCATCACCCCTGACTGAGCAAGGGTGCAGAATAGATCAGCTGCCCCTATGGGCTGGATGGGGTGGGATGGGCCCCCTACATCTGGAGAAGGCAGAGCTCCTACCACATGATGGATGGAGAAGTGGAGGCAGTGTGCCTAGGGATCTGCCCAAGATGGCACAGCGCGGGAGGAGGGGTTCCTTCTGGGACTCGCCCCACCCCTTGCCCCAGAGAGGGGGACAGACCCCAAAGTGTCAGTAGTACAGAGGGAGCCCTAGCCGGTTTGGCTCAGTGGATAGAGTGTCGGCCTGCAGACTGAAGAGTCCCAGGTTCGATTCCAGCCGAGGGCACATGCCTGGCTTGTGGGCTCAATTCCCAATAGGGGGCCTGTAGAAGGCAGCCAATCAGTGATTCTTATCATTGATGTTTCTAGCTCTCTCTCCCTCTCCCTTTCTCTCCGAAGTCAATAATAATAATAATGCAGAGGGAATTTGGTGTGTCCTTTTCCCAGCCTAGGTCATAAGTGCCCTAGGAAGGGGTCCAGGTGGGAGTTGGGATGCATGGCAGGCACAGCCTGTGCGAGGCCCCTGGCTGGGGAAAACTGGCGATTTAGAGGATTAAGGGGCCAGAAGGCTGGGTGCTGGTGGGATTAAAGTCCCCTGGAGCCTCTCCCCACCACAGCTCTTTTCAAGGCTGAGGCAGGTGGGAGGGGCCCCTCGCTGTCTTTCTCCTGCGGCCAGCATCCTCCACTCAGGCTGAATGTGGGCTTGGCCTCCCCCGCCCTCCACAGCACTGGGCCCTATTCAGGAGGCAGCTGCCAGGATGCTCCCCACTCCCGACTCCCCGCTGGGCCCCTGCCTGCGGTCCATTCACAGCCTCATTCACCAGGCCCAGTCAGGCTGCCTCCAACCCACTCAGCCCGGACTCACCCCGAGAGCACCCCGCTGCCAAAAGTGGGTGAATGCAGGGCCTGGGACTCCCGGGACAGAGAGCTTTGGGGCCTTGAGCGCACTGTTAACAAGGAAATTTCATTTGTAGGGTTTGTATCCCCAAAAGCTCCAAGCCACAGGACTGGTATGTTCTCATCACCCATAGCTTGCCTTGAAGGAAGGGTGCCCCCAAGGGCCAGCCAACCCCCATCACAAGGGTGCTCCCTGTTTTGCTGTGAATGGGGCAATTGGAGCTGGACATCGAGTCTCTGTGACCCTGGGTCCTGGAGAGGGTTGGCCTGCCTTTGGTCAACCCACCATGACCCGAGGGGATGTGACCCTGCGTGACAGACAAGTGACTGTGGCTCCAGCAGGTTACCCTAAAGTACACAAACCGGTTAGTGGCAGAGACAAGAGTGGGATTTTGCCCTGCGCCTTGCAGACTCCTAAGAAGCTCGGAGCTGCCTTCCTGGGCAATGGGACCTACCTCCTTCCTTTACACATCCTCTCTCAGGCTTTCCCTGTGTCCCTTCTCCCTTCTTCTCCCTCTCTCTGCCTCCCACCTGCCCCTGTGCCCACTGCCCACTGTCAGCCTCTGCTCTTGTCCTCATCGTCCCTGGTTCTTGGCGGGGGCGGTTTGAAAGGTGCTCTGTGTACATTTGTGGAGCCCAGGCAGCCGCCCCACCCCTGCCTCTCCCTCCCCACTAGTGATCCTCCTGCATCCCTGAGGCCTCATTATTAGGGTAGTGATGACCCCATTGTCTGGCCTGTCTGGCCCTGGCACTGAAAGGTAGGGTTTTGGCAGAGAAGGGAGGCTGGGCCTGATTCCAGCTCATCCCCTGCAGTCTGGAGCCTGTAATGTGCTTGGGGCAGGACTGGCAGGCCTCCGTGGGGGATGGGGGACCTTTGTCTGGAGCTGGAATGAAGGAGAGAGGCCCTTGTCTGATCTCAGCCCCTTCACCCCACTGCCCCCACCCCCCAAGCCTAGAGGCAGCCCCTGAGAAGGGACTGATATCTCTGCTCCCATGCAATGCAAGGCCATGGGGCTTCCTCCCCCTCAGCTGAGGCAGGAGACTCCATGCTGTGTGCAGGCCACTGCCCCCTGCAGTGCTCATGGGGTGGGAGTGGAGGGTGGATTTTCCCAGGACTCAGGCCTGCTTCTGAACCCCGCTGTCATCCCGCCTCGGCCCACCCAGCGTGGGAGCCGTGTAGAGCCAGGCCAGGCTGGCCAAGGAGGCCCTCCCTGGCCGACACTGCCACTTCGCCTCTGCAAGCTTTACTTTCCTGTCTGAGCAATAAGCAAGTCAGAACTGAACTTTGGTTAATATATTTTTATTGATTTCAGAGTGGAAGGGCGAGGGAGAGAGAGAGAGAAACATCAGTGATGAGAGAGAGAAACATCAGTGATGAGAGAGAATCATTAATCAGCTGCCTCCTACACACCCTCCCCCTCTGGGGATCAAGCCCACAACCCGGGCATGTGCCCTGACCTGGAATCGAACCGTGACCTCCTGGTTCCTAGGTCGATGCTCCACCACAGAGCCACGCCAGGCCGGGCAGAACTGTTGCTTTTTGAGGCTCCTTCCTGCCTTAAAAGTCTCTGTTTAGAGTGGGCCTGTGAGACTCCTAGAGCCCCTCCCCTCCTGGGCCAGCACTCACCTCTTTGATCCTGAAATGTTGCTTCTGAGCAGCAGGGCAGCTCTGGCGGCCAGTGGGGAATAGAGGCAGCACAAAGCTGCCTGGGTGTGGAGCCCTGGCTCTGCTGGCTGCTGGCACTGTGCTCATTTCCCGTGCCTCTGTTTCCTCATCTGTAATATGGGGATGATAATAGGACCTATTTCATACAGTTGTTGTAGGAAGTCCAAGAAATGATATAAAGTGCCTACAGCTGTATTTGGCCCCATGAAAACACTCAACACATATTAGGTATGTTTATTCTTTTCCTTTAAATTGATTTTAGAGAGAAAAGCATCGATGTGTTGTTCCACTTATTTATACATTCACTGGTTGTTAGTTGAACGTGCCCTGACCGGGAGATTGAACCCGCAACCTCGGCAGTCAATCTAACCAACTGAGCTACGTGGCCAGGGCCTAGGTATTTTTATTCTTAAAGGTCTTTATGGGTTGGGGTAGCTGAGTTTCCGCAACGCTCTCTCGTGTGAACCACATTGTGTCATCTCTGAAAGCTGGTGTTTGGGGTGGAGGGTGGGGACCCGCACTGTTAGGTAGGCCTCCTTAGGCAGGGCCTCTCTCATTGAGTTCTGGGGGGACTGAACTAGCCCATGACTTGTGACTCTTGCCTGTTTCTCCTGGCTTGCCTGAGAAATGCTGCACTGAGAAGCAGCCTTCCTAAGATAGTCGTCATTGACCTTATCAAGAAAAGGGGGAAACGTGGATCTGCTGTTCTGGGTTCCCATGTCTGTCTCTGTGTCTCTGTCTGTCTGTCTGTCTGTCTCTCTCTCTCTCTCTCTCTCTCTACACACACACACACACCGCGGAGTCTGATTGCCTTCAACACTCTCAGTAACCCATGCAGCATCTCCAGGATGAGTGAGCTCATGTGGGGAGGGGCTTGTGAACAGGCAAGCCGTCCCCAGAGTTAGCGTCAGTTCCTAGCAGGGTGGGTGCTGTGGGGGGGACTCTGGGTGGGTTCTTTGAGGAAAGGGGGGCTATGGAAGAGGAGCAGAAAGGTTATGGGATTCTCCGGGAGAGATGAATAAGATCCTTTTCTAACTGAACTGATGGGACTGTCCTTGGGAAATTGGCACCCATCTCTTCATATGGACCTGCCCTGTGCGTTCACCGCACAAATCTTTATTGAGTGTGGATTCCGCCAGCTCGATGCTAAGCACGGGGATATGTTGTGACGCTGCCGTCAGGGAACCGGCAGTCCAGGAAGGAGTCGAAAGGAGACGATTACAGAGCTGTGCGGGGTGGGCGCTGGAGGTCTGTCCCAGGCACAGACGTGTCTACGAGGAGCCTTTCCGGAGAGGGGACACCCAGTGAGCTGGGAAGGGTGAGTCGGAGGCTCTCCAGGAGACGAGGGAGAAAGGAATCCTGGGCGGAGGGACCCATGTGTGCAAAGCTGCAGAGAGCAAAAGGGTGATGCCAACAAACAAACAAATCACAGAGCCTTTGGTAGCCTGGCTCTGACCTGAGGGGGTAGAGGGGTGACACAGAGGGAGCCAGCAGTCACATGCAGGGTTGGCAGGCTGTGCTCCCTGCTCCCTGGCCTCGAGCATTCCCCACTGGAGTCCCTCTGGCCCAGGCCCCAGAAGTTCCTCATCTTCCTCTGCTCATCCATCTCCTTCTC